TATTCTCTCATCTTTAAATGTTGATAACCCTTTTTTCTTTATTTTTCTCGAAAACAATGTTCATACATAGTGAGAGAGTAAAATGAAAAAAAAAACATCAAAGAACAATGGCGCATCAAAGAAGCATGAACAAGAGAACAGGTGATCGTTATTTAAAATGGTCAAACATATCTTTTTATTTGAAAAAGAAAGAAAACAACACGTTTTATAGTTCACATAAAAATATTCTTTTTAAGTATGGAAAAATCAAAATTGTAGTCAGTTGAACATTTGTGGATTAATAAAGATTAAATCAATAATTTTCTTCTCATTTATTAGATGTAAAAAAATTTTTTCTATTAGAATAATGGCAAAAATTTTAACGAAGATATACCAGATGCCTATAAAAAGATATGTCTATATCAGATTATTCAGTCATAAAAATATTTTGAACTTATGATTACTGAATAGATATATATCTTTTCTTATAGTATGATGTTTTTCTAGTACATTTATCTTATAATTACGCAAAAGTATATGATAAACTAATACAAGTTGATTATTATATCATGACATCATTTGCATTTTCTGTTATTTATGTTCTGTATAGGGTAAGTGGTAAAGATGTTACTTAAGATTAACATCTCGAATATTTGTTATAAATTCTAAATTCTACGCTTTATTAGATTGGATTTAACGTAAGATTTTTATAAGAAAAGTAAACTATGATACTGAAAAGATAGTTTATATTTGAAGAAAGAGTTAAAGTTAAATATGATGCTATCGAAGACGATTGTATATAAATTAGATTGCCAATTCGTGATGTTTACTTTTTAGTGGCTTCATTGTTTTAATATTTGTCTCAAGTTTCTTTCTTCAATATTGTTATGTCTATGAAATACAGCAAATGGTATTACTCATCGAAATATTTTGAATGGGTAATTAAACATTATAGCTACTTTTGTATACATACTCAATGAAATGTAGACATTCATAAGGTTTTATACAATCATCCAATAAAATAGTCACGCACATACTCCTTCGGCGTTCATAAACACACACAAGGATTCACGCTCCGATTAAGATGTTATTCTAGTACGAAACGATAAAAAGAAATTGTCTAACTCTTAAAAGTCAGACTTAAGAGAGAGAGAGAGAGAGTTGGTACTAAAAGACGAAATTTTCACTACATTTTGTTGAGCTGCATCCATGGTGAATGTACTTTGCTTGTCTAATGAAGCTGATACTTGTCTTTTGTGGATCTTCTAATAGTTTCCGAAGGAAAAAGGAGTGTAAGTTATATACTCAGAACCCTAGTGTTTTTGCTGTTGTTTAACCTTCATTCTCCTCTGTAGTTATGATCTTAATTAAATAAACAATGGCAGTAATTATGATCGTAAGTTTGCTCAGTGGAGCCGATTTATTAGTTACTGAATTAACAATTGGGAAGAGTTTCACATTTTAGCAACAAACGGGACTGCACTGACAAGATATTTTTAAAATAGTTACCAAATAATAATCAAGTAGTTAGATCAAGTACGTCCGCTAGGCATTGCTTTTGATGCTACGTTTTAACCCTAATAGTTTCGACTGATATATTATTATTTTTACAATTCTAAGGCGAAATTTGTTCCCATTTACCATTTAAGAACATAAGTATAATTCTTTTTTTGTTTTTTAAGTAAAGAAGGTCATTGTGTCTATGTGTTCAAGAAGTACACGTTAATATTAGAATACCTTAAGGTTGGATATTACATTAAATTAAAAAGAAAAATGAAAGTCAAGTATATCATTCTAAATTAAGTGATTTTGCTTATTCTTCTCCATTGTTTTTGTATTTTTTTTATTAGCTTAAGGCATACGGTACGTATTCTATAACAAGACAAACTAATTGTGGATATGAGTATATGTGAACTTCTGTGCGTTTTTTTGCTTTCTTGTTGTTTTTTTTTGTTACTTTTAACTAATGCTGCCATATACAATCACCTGTGGAGAACGTAAACTATATATACTTTTTCCTTATTAAGTTGTAATTTTGACTGACAAAGCATATATTATTTTTTATCATTTATCGATCATTTGATATTTATTTTAATAAGATAAAGATTTTCAAATAAGAAAGAAAAAAGGAAATCACAGCATGTTGCAAATGAACAAGTAAGATTTAGATACGATGCTTGATTACTCGTTGTTTGTTTTTCTATTGTGTTGTGCAAAGTGTGATATTGTAGATTCTAAGAGCTAGATGTACAGTACATTAGGATGAAAAACAAGATCTTTCATTGGCTCTTTCTCTCTCTGAATAAAGTCAAGGTTATTAGTCTCATTTACATACATAACTTCAAGTCAACGGAGAGAATTTGAGGATAGAAAATTAGAGATTATTCATATCCCATGAAAAAGAAAATATTTTTTCTGTTGAAGAATAATATCTTTCTCACAAACTATTGACTAATTATGAATGAATAATTATTGTCATTATTACAAAGACTAATACATTTAGAACTAAATTTTACGTGATTTTAGTACGCTTATAATTAACCTTTAGCATTGATGAAAGATTTAAAAAGATAAATATCGCATATTTAAAACAGCACGTCCTCTATAGATTAGTGGTGTCAATGATATAGAACGGTGATGGTAACGCCAAAAAAATAGTCGCCATTGATGGGTGAGATGGGTGAGAATGATTAGAACCATATGGTACATGCCTACTAAAAGTGCAATTAAATTGATCATAAGATGAAATAATAAATGTGTCACTACGCTCAATTGCCACTTGAATCTATGATGAATAAATCAAAAATTTTTTGTGATTATGATCAGTAGATCATGTCTTGTTTAGTACTGAGATAAAATATATTCAAACAACATCTGTAAACGTTACTTGTACAGTCACTACATTTTACTCTTTTGAAATTAAGATAGGCTAGATATTGCAAAGAGAAAAATTGACAAGAACCATCTTGCTAAATACTTAAAAATATTGTTTGACATCGTTAAATTGAAGTAGTATAAAACATTTAACTATGAAAGCTTTTTAACTCCTTCTTTTCATCCATAGCAAGCGTTTAAGCTGACTATAATGACACTGAAATATTTAGAGTCGATTATTCATCTCTTAATGAGGTATTAATTTTATTTGAAAATGTCAACAAGAGATTTTGAAATAGAATATACGAGAACGAATAATAAACAAATGTGTCAGTTATAGCTTTTTATTGTGTCAAATTTATCGAACATTTTCACATATAATTACTTAACACATTTACACACACAGTAGGACGGTTGAGAAACGCTGATACCATTCACAGTACTTTTGAACGATACTTACAAAATAGTTAGTACTACGTAAGTGTCATAGATTTGACATAAACTACAACTAAAAAATACTGATAAAGATAGAACGTCAGACTATGGTTGAGATAAGTTTGACATTTGAAGAATATTGGTTCTAGACTGATGAATAACTCCGAAGTTGAAAATCATAAGCTCACTAAATATGTCTCGTATTCAATGATATGAACTCTTTCTGTTGACCATAAGATACACTGTGATTTGATTGCTGATCATACTGTGATAGTGACGTAGTTATCCCAATAATCTGTTGGTTTTTCTGATGGATAATTTAGAGAAAGATATCAGATTAGTCCGATTATTACTAATTGGACTAGATACCTGTAACATGCAACGTATGTTAGTATATTATACATAGATATAGACAAATACTAATATTGTACGCAATAAGTCAATATTTATTTGGATTGATTGAACAATCATACGATGTTGAATAAGAGAGTGACAGAGAAAGACATTCTAGATGTGCTTACATATACATATATTATTAACAGACTATATACTGATTACTTCAACGTGCATAGGATATGAGAGATTGTCTAGATCATACATATAAATGAATGAAACCTGTGGATGATGATGTTTTGATGATAAAATTCTACGGATGAATATAATATGTATATATAGCGTCAGACATTATGATACAATTGGCCTTCTACCCATATTTTTTCGTTTAAAATTATGAGAAATACATCAGATAATGATAATAATCAACAATTTTTTCATTCAAGGAAGACTATAAACTGGCATATCAATCAATGAGAACGATGGATCATGTTTGAATTAGGAATAGATTTCCTACCATGCATTTCTTCTGAGTAGTGGAAAATTCGAAAAGAAATATTTAGAGGCAATTGTGTAGTTAACATTAATGCAGTTGATTGATTTTTATCGTCGAATATCTCATATAATTCGAAAAATCCACATCTCTGTATTTCCGTGATGTTACTGATAGTTATGAAAAATTGAAATAGACTATTACCGTCGTTCTATCAAGATTATGAAGCCTATCAATGTCTTATAGTAGAAATAAGATCTGATTAAAAAGTACAATAAGGAAATATTATATTATTTACTTTTAAACCGACACACACCATTATTTAACTTTCATATCATTTACTGTCTGTAAATGCACACAATAGAAAGAAAGAGAAGAAAAAAATAGATTGAGTAATATAAAAATTAAGTTTTCTTTATCATCATATACGATGCCCTAGATATGTTTTGTCTATGTCTTTTTTGATGGTCAAGCCTTTTAATTTGTTACGTGATTCAGCTACAGAGTTAGACAGAAGTCGATGATAGGAATGTTGAATAGTTGATATCATAATATTTTTTGTTATGTTTGATATATACAATTGAACAATAGTATATGATGAAATATGATCTGTAGGAAGAGAAATACTATAAAGTAAAAAATAAGTAGAATTGGAAAAGAAAAGAAAAAAAAAATGTTTGTGCTTTACTATTTCATCTTTTTCTTTTCAATTTAGTTTCATCTATCAGAAAACAGATCAATTCTGTTTCTTTTCTTTTTTTTGTAAATTCATCGTCATCATACAATGAACAATAATGATCAGGAAATCAATAATAATCGGAAAACGTCAGCAGCCAATTTAATAAATATAAACTGTTCATCAAATGATCATCATGGTAGTTGGCAAATGGAATCAGGATATTATAGTGATGGGTCACATTTATCTTCACAACAGCAGCAATATCAATGCAATCATATGCCAACGACCACCGTATTACCGTCAACATTTAATATTAAAAAAATAACTGGTAAGATAAGTTAACTATATTCAATGATTTAAACCACTAAGTTTTGTTCTTCGTTTATAAAAACAATATCAGAAATCGTTTATTATTAAAGTCTATGATCCGTTAGCGGAAAATCAAACACAATATATTCGCGACAAATTGAACGTTCCAGTTTTTGAGAAAACCTAAGTAGATTGCTAGTGATCTCTTCAGTCTGCGAATTGAGGTTTAGAAAAAAAGCGAATAATTGTAGACATTTCGAAATAGTTTTCGTGTATTTCTCATGTAATGTCTAGAAGCGTCCATTAACTCTCAGGACTGCGCAAGTGCGGACACTGACAAATATTGTACATTTCTGAACAAATATCGCATATTTCGTTGTCTTTCTTTTCCATTCAATTATAGGGCTCGTATGACGTTCAAAATATGATGTAGTTCGTTGTTTTTTGAATAATTTCTGATTAAATCGAGATAAGGATCTGCCATTTTTGTCAAGCGATAGTGGAGACCAATATATGACATTTCATAAACAGAAGACTTAAAACTTTTAACTTTACGCTTTTTTCAAAGGTAGGATTTCAAAAAGTCTCGAAATCATTGCTCAAATTTCAAAATTTGAAACATTTGTTGTTTTACATATACAGTTAGCACAACCTGTCTCTAAAAGATGAGTGGGGTCTTCACTATCTTTATTTATCATAGTTTCGATTATAAATCTACAGTACATCTATCAGGAGCTAACAAATTATACCTTCAAATCCTAGGATAAGTTGATCATTTTTTTGAGTGATTAACGAACTTTTCGCAGATTCTACCTTGGACAAAAAATTTAAAATTTCTATTTATGAAATGTCATCTCTTGGTCTCCACTATCGTTTGAGAAAAATGGCAGGCCCTTATCTTGATTTAATCAAAAGTTATTCAAAAAATGACGAACTGCATCAAATTTTCAATGTTATACTGATCTTTCTTTCATAATTATGTGGTTTTTAGTTCATCATTCAACTGCGATAAACTAAATGGTGCACACATATATTTTTTTGTTATAGACAATGCTATGGGTTATTTTTCACTTATTAGTCTATAGTTGCATGATAAACATCATCATTCTCGTGATGACCTGACTTTGTTCAACATACAGATGTAAAAAATGTTCACCTATAGATATCGAGAGAGATAAATATATATTACATGAAAATTGTGTATGTGTCAAGTGCGTAAAGACTGATACACATTACTATTAAAATTGTAAAAAAAATGTATTTCATTAGAGATCGATCATATATATTTGAACTGGATGATAGATAATATGTTCAAAACGAGGCATTCATATATTTAATTGTCTATAGGTATATGCAAAAATCACTGGTAGATAAGCCAATATCATCTATCTTAAACAATAGCAAAAACTTAATACACAAATTTTGTTGAATAAGGGCAAGCATGTTATAGGTCACAGTGGATATTTGAGTTGAGGTCAACGTTTGTAGACTTCTGACAAATTTAATTTAAGATGTAGAATTGAAAATAAATTAGTTCAGTCTCAGCTGCGAAGAATTTTCTCGCTTTGTTAATAATCGGCTAAAACTAACAGAAGCAATGCTAATTTTTGTGTTAATGTCACCATATGAGATCTATGCCTAGAGAACTAATGTTCATTAGCTTTGGTTATTGTTGAGAGTATATAGTATCGATCGCAATAAAAGAATTTCTTTTGAATTTTAACTACGATTGACAATAGAATAGATAACATTTTTTATTTATTAAACAATGAAAACAGTATATTTTTCTTTTGTTATTGATCGTGCAAAATCTATTCATTTTTCCGTTTTGTTCTACAAAGAAGAAAAGCAGAAAAAATACATCCTTGTTTAGTAGATCGTTTTACAATAAAATGTTGTCAAAAAAAAAAAAAGAACAAGAAAGAGTCGAATTCAGTTATTCTGACCTTGCTTTCACACGCATACACATCATAATAAAAACTATTAACATAGACTTATTCCACTTTTTCTCTTTTTAATAATAAATAGTAATAGTTATATAATTTTGCCAATTGAGACAGTATAACCGATTAACCAAAAGGATATGATGGACATGCCCGATTAAGGTGTCGATGTTTATCGCAAAGAAGATGAAACACAATATAGCACACTAGAGAGAGAAGGATCTAATCGGAAGAATGGATGAACACAAAGATTATAAACTTGTTTTTATTGAGTTGTTCATGTTACAAATTATCAAGTAGTCAAAAAAAGAAAATTATGTAAGATTTTATTCTGACGCTTGAGGGCTTTCTTTATCCAAAAGAAGTTTATTGAACAACATCTGCTCATCTAGAGAGAACAATAACTGCATTATTTAATAGAGAAATTGTTACATGACCAATATTGTTTCTGGCTTGTACTAACAAGAAAAAAAACATATACACATTTTTATTTCTACTAAAATTAGCTATAATCATATGTCTCATAAACCAAATGGTACCATTCGAGGTCATCACGGCACCATTTGCATTTTTTTTTATATTTCTTCCATAGATTTTTACAGCTGAACTACACAGTTTCATTCTCATTCTTATATTGAAATGACTTCAAGTAAGCATGAAATATTCGTTTTTAATTGATCTTAATTTAATAATGAATAAAAAAGATCATTTATAAAAATATTAACGGTAGGTTTGCTTCTTTTAACTCTAAGATGAGTCAATATGTGCAATACACTACATATTGACCTATTAGAATAATACTAGTATACAATTTTAAGTCTTGCGGCAGAACATTGATCTTCTAAATTTGATAGTGCAAGTAGCCTATTAAAGTGATACTTCTTCTGCGATATAAAGAGAAACGCTATCCAGATGAGTCAAGATCAAAACAAGAAATGAGATCACTAGTTACATATATATATATATATACACGTGACATTTGAATGAAAGGGAAATTACTCGATATTAAAGAGAGAAAGCGCAACTAACGATTATTTATATTCCCAAATAAATCAAGATCAACACAATTGTATATGATATATTATTTATTATTTCTCTTCTTTTCTTTTTTTTTGTCTTTATTAGAAAAAAAAGGAAGAAAAATATACAAGATGTATTTTTTCTTTTATTACAGGTGTTCTTGTACCATCTCCTTGTTCGTCTTGCACATCAACGTTATCAACAACAAATAAAAATTGTCGAAATCATCACCATAATAGTAATGATTGTCCAACGTTAATTACTACAAAATGTTCGTGTCACTGTCGACCTCGAATGGATACATTGTCGTCGTCTCCTCATTATAATTTACTTGGTAATGGAAATAATGATGGACATTCGAATTCAAATTCGACCATTTTAATGACAACAATAGCAGAAAATGGTTCTAGTACTATGTCGTCACAACGAAATAAAAAACGAGGTCGAACTACAACAACAACAACAATGATTGATAAGACTCAACATAAGTATATTGATCATTCATTATCGTCTGATTCACAATCAAATTCAGATAATAATATACGACATGAACAAAATGATATCAATCATGAAAATGAAAAACGTTTGATAGATAGAGGTATGTAGATTAACAATCAACTTGTTTTCCACTATTTATATTAGGTTTTTTTTTTTTGTTCTTTCGTTGAATCGATAAGAGATGAATGATTTTTATATTTTATAACTTATAAATTTTTGAATGTTAAATATACCGTTGTAAAAGTTTCACTGCTTGAGATAGAGAAACAAAACAAATATAGGCAGATGCTTTTTTCTCTATTTGAATATGAAAAATAATTTATATTAAACTATCTTCTCTTCTCTATATTCTTAATTAGAAAAGCAACTCAATTGTTCATAATTATCGACAGATAGATACATCATTATTCTAAGTGAGTGAATGAGAGAGAATTTGTGGAATCTGTTTTTTCTAAAGGGTACTAATGTTTTTATTCAAAATTATTGAACAACAATACATGTGTCTAGGTTGATCGTAGGAGGGCGGGAATAGCCAAACATGTATGTTATGGATGTTTTTCCAATTATCAGCTTCATATGAAAAAAAAATAATAATCATTCATTCCTTAAACCATACTGCTTGAATCTTTTCGACCATAAAATTAAAAGAAGGAGAAGGAGGAGTTATTGACAATGACACATATGGATGAATACAATATTTTAACCATAACAATTAATTTGTTAACAATACTTTCAGATATCTATCATGCTGATATAGAAAATAGACATCTTTAACTTATTTTCAAATAGTTATCATTGAAATCTTTGAAAAATTTAAAATTATGTTAATGTTTAATTCTCTTTTAATAAAATCTGTTTTTAGTTCCGCTGACCTTCAAGTAGTTTTTTCTTTATTCCACTAAATATTTGTTTCTAATGTCTATTATCTGACATTTTTATCAAGATCATGTTCAACGATCAATTGTTCGTTGTTATGTTTTTTTCTTATTCTTCTGTGAACGTACGTAATCATCCATATTTCATTATCTTCAATTGTAACTCTAGATCGTGATCACGTAACAATAGTCGATCTTGTTTAACATGCAATATTCCATGGTATGTCATTTACTCACCGATTATACTCGATGTAGAAGTGACAACAAATTGAATATTTTAATCTAAATAGTTTGTCCTTTTTTTTTTTTTTCTTCTATTTACTGTTGATCACGAAATCAACCATAGAATAATTTCTCATCGATTTCCGTGTCGAGTTAAATTACACATACATATAGAGAAAGAAAAAAATGATCATCTCGCGCATAATTTTTGCTAGTTTTCTAGTTCACCTGCGTAGGCAATTTATGGCACCTTTCATTCATCCTTCGGGAGGAAAAAGGCGTTTATATTCACGTCAAATTCACACGTCTATGCACTGAATAGACATTAAAATCAACGATGTTTAATCGATTTTCTTTACATCATCATAAAAAAAAAAAAGAAGAAGAAGATCATCATCAGTTCTAATACTTTAGACAATTAAAATATCGAAATAGAGGTACGATAGAAAATTTTGCCAATAAATTTGTCTTCAATTTGCTACATTGCAATTTTTGTCTATCAAGTGTGCAATTTAAATTTTGATTAAATATAAATTAGTCTCTTTGTCTTTCTTCAACTGGTTTGTTGAATGTTTTTGTCGAAAAAACAAAATATATTGTTTTACTATACATCGACAAAAAAAAAAAAAAGAAATAAAAAAAGAGCATTTTCTTTTTTTTTTAATCACTTATAATATAATGATTGTCTCGATATGGATGATAATAATAAAAGCTACATGTCTCTTTACTCTAATTGTTTGTGGCTGTTCTTATGTAGACGCGACACTTCTTGACATTGAATTGATGTAAATAATATTGAGAACGTCCTTTCTATTTAGTTAAAAAAGAAAATTAAGAAATAAAAAGAAAAATGTCTCTCTCTTGGTAAAAAATCATCATCAGGGAACAATCATCATATCTTCTAATAATATTTCTTTGTATTCAATATGACACACAAGAAAGAAAGAAAGAAAAAAAGAAAAAAAACGAGAAACTCTAAACATATGGATATATTCAGGTCAAGAAAAGAAGAATAACAAGAATAATGATAGGATAGTAGTCTTTACGACTATGTTACATTATTTATGATCGTTTTAAATTAATTGATTTTCTTTTCTTGTTTTTCTCATTCATTTTTTTGATCCCATCAAATTTAATCAATATGTACAAGGAGGAGAAATGTAGACACAAAGAAGAAAGAAATATATGTTCTAGAAGTGATTGTCTTAGAGAAAAGGTGAAATTTAATTTTTGAATAAATTTGTGTCGGTTTTGTTAACTAGAGTTTGGATTTGTTATCGGTGAAAGAATAAAATGTTAACTCATTTTTCTCTGCCTGGTAATGAAAAAAGGATAAATTCATTTGTTGATTATATAAGTAAAACAAGTTTTAAAGTGTTATTGACACAATTAAATCGATTATCTATAAGAAAAAGAAGAGGAAACTATGATTAATAAGTTGCCTCATTAATTATGAACATTTTCTTCTTCTTTTTTTTCTTTTTGTCTGTCTCTTGAGATATATATTTAGTGTTGATGTCTACGATGTCAAGTTGAAACTTAATTGTGATGAGAAAAGAAAATATAAATCTAATATTCATATTCAACAAGAAAAAAAATTCTTTTTGCGTAAAATTTAAAAAAAATTTTTTTTTTTCAAAAAAATGTTGTAGTCTATCATCCATAACAGCGTAACAAGTTTTCTTTTTACAGAAAAGTGTGCAATACAAAAGACACGAAAGAATAGTGAATGATACAAGAGAAGTAAAAGAGGATGAAGAAAAAATAAAAGGGAAGAAAAGTGCCCGATAGGCAACAGAAACAAAATTAGTGGAAAAGGAAACGATAAAAAAAGAGAAATGGTACATATTCACACAGTCACACACACGTACACACACGCACAATGAACTTATGGTTCAAAAAACTGTAGTAAAGAAGTGTACCGCATATAGACACACTATGGCATAATAATAATAATAATAATAAAATAGAAGCTTAAACACTTAACAATACTTTCATTTTGTACAAAGGAATTTGATAAGATTAATATTGGAAAACGGATGAAATGTAAGCATTAAAGATTTAGTTATTATTTTTCTTAGATAAAATTAAAATTAAACTATACCATTACGAGTCGTTGTTAGTTTCAACAATAAAATCAAATTCTCGAATTTTTGATGTATTACATTAACTTTTTTAACTTTCACAGTGAACGATTCTAGTAAAATTCATTTAATGCTCAAGACAAAGTAAAGAGAGAAGTGCTGCTGAAATTGTTAATGAAAATCTGTTTTTAGTACGAGTAGTTGACAAACTGCTGAATATGATATATGTACGCCATTTTCTTTTTATACTACCATGACGCGAGTGACGCTATAATGAAAAAGACATTGTATGTTTACGCGTGTGTGTGTATATATATCTATAACAAATTAATCGATACAACATTTTTTTATTTTAACTTGCTAACTGGCCCTTGACATCATATTTCTTTCTCTCTTTCTCTTATTCTTTCTTTTTGAACAACATACAATGCAATATAACATGATAAAGGTTAAGGAGGAACCAATGTTGAGCATAATAACCATTTACTTTTTTTTTTGATCTTGGCGTCAATATACAATACAATATAATAAAAGTAATATAGACACAGAAATGTGCATCATCAATTACATTGCACAACAGTGACGAATAAATGAATTTTTTTTTATAAAATGTCAACATACATTGAACTACTAGTATCTTATCATTACAATTAGTTTTTCTCTTCTAGGAGGATCAACAACAATGAATTTAAATATTCCTCTACCACCAAATATACCATTAGATCATTCAACACTTCTTACACAATTAAAAACTGCGCAACGTCATTCGACATTTTTATGCGATAATTCTTCACAAAATTATCAGACACCGCCACCTATTCCACCACCACCACCACCACCATTACCATCAGCGTCAGCATATCTTATTCAAACACAATCTGGCAATGCCATACTTATACCTCAAAGTAAGCGCATTGTTTATACTTCAATAGTTAGTCGAATATGACCAAGAATTTCAAGAATTTTTTAATTTTTTCTTCTTTGACAAAATAAATAATAGATCATTTATGTTCAATTCCTTGAATTGTGTGTGTGTGTGTGTGTGTGTGTGTATATGTTTTGATCGGATGTTAAAATTGAGTGATTAATTATATGTGGCTATTAATTGTTCGTTAATATACTTCTATTTCTCTCTTTCTCTCTCTCTTTTCTTTTCTACTATTTGTGCAATTTAACATTTGACGGATGTCGTGCATGTGACCAAGAGCTCTTTTTGTATTATTCTCTCTCTTTCATTTATTTTATTTTCATCAAACATCAGTTCCATCATACAGAAAAATCAATATTAGTTCTCGTTCCGGTGTGTCGTTTCAGGACATAATTAGTTTTGACACATTATTGTGTACTACAACGAGAAAACTGAACAAATTAGTAGTACTGAAAATTGTTTCAACTATTTCCTTTTATAAGAGAACGAAAATTGAATTTGATCATAGTCTGATGAACACAATAGAAGAAACAATGTACACACACTCACAACTAAAACAAAGATTGAACGCGTGAACATATTGACGCATATCAAGGACTACTGTATTTTACTCGTCTAAAATGATCAAATATTTCAACAGCATGAATAGATAATATGATAAGGCAGGTCAGTGTCTCCATATCTAAATTTAAAAGTAATAGATAAAAAAAACGATGACGAGAGGTCATTTAATTTCTTTCAATTAGAGTTGACGATAGAAATAAGATATTTTGTCGTTGTCTATTAGTAGTATCGATATAATCATCGTTGTTAACAAAAATATTTCTTTTTTTTTTTTTTCTTCGAATATTTTTTATGATTATAAACAACTCATACACACATACACAGACATCATCATCATCATCATCATCATCATCATCATCAACATCATCATCATTATTATTGATGATGAGAAAAACAATGCCCTTCAGTCTGTCGTTTGATAATTTATTGACAGATATTATATGCTGCTGACGAAATTGTACGTTTTAATATTCTCTTTTTCTTCTTTTTTTTCTTTCGTAGTATTCGAAAGAATTTATATTTATTATTATTATTATTATTATTATGAAAACTGATTTTGTATAATGACATATGATATATAACTTCTTCTAAATTGTGTACTGTGTGATGATACATCAGAATTTTTGTTGTTAAAAAAAGTGTGAATAATTCGTCTATGTTACCGTTAAGATGTTTTATCGATAATGAAAATGATTATTTAGAACCAGATGATGAAAAATATCAGCATGGTACAATTTTTTTATCATTTAGTATGAAAACTTTTTACTCTTCTTCAATTGTATTGATATTGTAATTTGTTAAAAAACAGATCTTTTTTAGACATTTGTGTAAACGTTTTATAATACAATGTACCTATAGCGGTAAATGTGTTTTTTCACTTGACAATATTAATGCAATGACTTGTTTAGTCTGATTATACATCTGGAGGATAAATTATTCTTTTTGTTTTTTACACTATTTATCTCTTTATTTTTTAGGTGCTTTAATGCCATCCAATTCTCAGGGTACATTTCCATTACGTTCATCTGGTTACGCATTAACATCAGCTTATCCATTAGTATCTCAACATCAACAGCCACTTTTATCCACCAATGATAGACTAAAATCAAATTCATCAAATTTATATCAAACTATTGATGCTGAGAGGTGAGCAACACTTTAAAAATCACATCTCTATATACGATTGATTGAAACAGGATGTTCACATGGAAATGAAATGAGTGATTGATGTTCATTTTCTTTCTTTATTTCACTAAGTGACTTTACTTGTTCAACGATCAAATATGTTGATTTTTTTTTTCTTTTGCGGTTAGTTCATTATCATCAAACAGTCTTAGCTTTTAGTTTTAATAAAGTACTAGTGAGTGTGTATTCGTTCATTAATTTGATATATCATATTGTTCATGCCGAGTAGTTTCTCTCTCTTTTGCTCTCTTTGATTGATATTAAGTGTTCTCTTGTGTGATTATTTGCCCGTTAAGCATTTAAATGTACATACAATTGGCATAAATATAGAACAGTTAACATTGAAAAACAGGTATATTTTCTTTTGTCGGAATTGAGTTATGTTTCTTAAGATGATCAACAACATATGAACAGTATACACATACTTTTTAGATGCTTTCTCATTCTTTTCTTTTTTCGTTCTTCAGTTACATTATTTAATTAACATAGCCAAGTAGAGAACCTAAAATAAACTTATTTGATTAAGTAGTTATTTTTCTTTCTACAGAGAGAGACAGAGAGAGAGAGGAAAAGAGACAGAGTCGAGGACGCTAAATACAAGTTGAACAAATGTAAGCCTTATGAAAACAACTAACTCTATTTTAACAACGTGATCTACTTCTGTTTGAGCGATAACCAGCATACGTTACAAGAACGAGACTAATCAAAAATACGAATTCATTGTTTAACACTGGAACTTCAAAAAAACAAGCAGATCCTCACTCATCGAACTACAAGCCATGTTTTGAAAATCGTTCAGAGAAAATTGCGTATACTATGTACAACCATACGATATTTTCAGATCCAAAAATTTCGTTAAACTATAAGTGCTAATATAGATGTTGTGCTAATATAGTGTTTTGCGTTTTGGAAGACTCAACAAATCTGCCAAATGATTCCTCTGTACTACATAGAATCACAGGTTTAGAAGACACTATCTGAAGAAATGTTTGAAATAATTGCTGTTGTGTTAATATGCGTATAGCTCTCTTCATCTCCATTTGCATGCGTAAATTCCTTCTGTATTTTGTTTTTCAGTCATCGTGAATATGTAACACAGAGTGAGAAGAGTGAAACATTTCCAGATACGCCATTATTGGCAGGGTTAGTATATTATTGTTATTATCATAATTGCACTAACTCTTAAATATACTAATTATTCACTAAACAAAATGTTTCACATTTTCTTTGTGGACAGATCACCATCTTTATCTTGTTTGTTGCACCATTTCTGTGAATATTTGTTATGTATACAATGTTTTATTATCATAGCTTTCTGATTATGTAAGAATCATGGTCTACACTTCAGATTAAATTACAAATCTAGTGAAAATTACTGTTCGTCATAAAAAGATTTAAAAGCAAAATCACACCAGTTATAAGAGGATAAAAATATTTTAATGCTATAAATGATCTGATTTCCATTCTTTTTTTTTTATAAAAAATTTACATATGTAGTTCCTATCAAAATAAGAATAAGAGATATTAAAATATAATAACTATAACAAAATATTTTCAAGGATAAATGATATATGTCACTTGACATTCTTATCCGAATTAGACATGATCAGAATTTAAATAAATGTATTGAAGAAACATTCTCTTATAAAAGGAAATAGAGTTAAGATCTTTAAATATTGAATTACATCTAAATGAAAATTTCCATACAAATGCATGAAATACTTCAGTTTGGCTTAGAAAAGATGCTTATGCTTATTGATAATGTCTGATGCATACTATGTACACTGCTTAATTGAATGATACTAACTAATTTTCTGAACTTTTAGTTTTAGAAATTGTTATGTATATCCCGTTGAACAATCGACTTCACCACGATGTAATTGTGATTCAACAACGTATAATGAGCAGACTACTACAACTCGTCAATCAACACATTCCCCATGTCCCTTGTTTGGTAATACAACTTGCAAGTATGTATATTAGACTATTTTGTAATATAAGATTAACCGTCATCATTCTTCTTCTAGAACAAAAAAAGTTCTACGACATCGTTTAACGTGGAAATGTACAGCCATTATATTTATGCTTTTAACTTTATGTTTCTTTTCTTCCATGATTTATTTATCAGGTATAAGAGTTAATACTATTGATATTTGAAAAAATGAACATGATCTTGATACTATTTGTTGTTTTTTAGTTTTGAAATGGTACTATGGTAAATATCATCCAACATTCAGAGAAAATGATCTAAATGCAAACAGTATTTCAGCAGATGGTAATCTATACAAAGTACATATTTCAATTGCGATAAAAAAAAATTCATGGTTGTTTTCTTGTTTACAGTGAAAAGTTTACATGGTACAAGTCCAATGTTTATTCGAATTGGTGATACAATAAAGAGATTTCTTGAACCACAAACAATTATACAAATACAATTTTATATTGATAAAACAACAATTATTAGATATAATTTGACAGCTAGTAAAACGGCAACATTAGGTAAATAAATGACGGTTAACAACGAATTTTATTTGATATTATCATTCTTCTTTTTCAGGTGTTTACTGTCAGAAATCCAAAGCACCAACATTAACACGATTTGATTTTTTTCATATATTTGATGGTAGTAAACAAACAACAACAAGAATTAAAAGATCATCAACAATAAATAGTTCAATATCGTTGGTATCACATACGTATGATCGTTTAACAGTATCATTTAATCAACATATGAATGAAGGGCTATGGTATTTAACAGTATTAAATGATGGTTACAATAGAGAAGAGTTTATTTTGATTACAGAACAAAACAGTAAGTAGATCTAATAAATCTAAGATAATTGGTTAACATTTACGTCTTTGAATAGGTGATATAGATCAGTCTTGTCCAAAAAGTTGTACAAATCATGGTACATGTATCAAAGGTGTATGTAATTGCCACACTGGATATACCGGTGATGATTGCTCACTTGGTATGTCATAATCTGCTTATAATACTCTATTTTTAATAATTTATCTGTTTGTGTTTAGGACAGTGTTCAACATTGTGTAATGGACATGGAGTTATTGAGCGTGGTCGATGTTTTTGCTACGATGGCTATCATGGTAGCGAATGTGAACTGTCAGCAAATCAATGTGAAACACCTAATTGTAATAAACATGGCACATGTGTCAATGGTGTCTGCCTTTGTGATACCGGTTTTACCGGGACTTCTTGCGAATATGGTGAGTAATTTCTTGGTAATATTAAAAATGAAAATATTTTGTAATATATGTTTGCTTTAGAAACATGCTTGCAGGCAAATTGTAGTGGTAATGGTTATTGTATCAAACGACGATGTCGATGTTATCAAGGATTTACCGGTGACGCATGTGAAACAGGAATAATTGATAAATGCGATAACGATTGTTCTAAACGTGAAAACCAGTTGTCAAATGGTGTGTATCTGTTTTGAAAATATATTCACTCATCTGTGGAACGATTTTGAATATTTATTTTAGTTATCTGTTCAGTCGATTGTGGACAACATGGAAAGTGTTTTAATGGCACTTGTCAATGTGATAACGGTTGGATAGGTAATCAATGTACAGAACAGACGTGTAATGTTAATTGTGGAAACGGTCGTTGTCAAAATGGAACATGCATTTGTTTATCGGGTTTTCAAGGTCGATTTTGTCAAAAAAGTATTTAATAATCCATCTTTAAAGAAATTGGTATTATAATCAAATGTTATTATTTAGATATGTGTGCGAATAACTGCAATGGTCATGGTGAATGTCGAAAAGAAAACAATCGTTATTCATGTATATGTCAGTCGAATTGGCTTGGCCTAGCTTGTGAATTGACGCGAGAATTGAACTGCAACGATCGAATCGATAATGATAATGGTACATTGGTTAGATTTTTTATTTGTGCTCTTGAATACACTACTTTTTCTTCAAACAGATGGATTAATTGATTGTTTGGATCCTGATTGTTGTTCAAGCTCACATTGTTCAGCAACACAAGAATGTATAACAAAAACGAATGCAAAAGATATTGTATGCAAAGTACTATCTATTTTTCGGCATTTGGTGACTTTTTAATGTCTTTTTTAGTTATTACGTCGACAAGCAACAAGTTTAACAGCAACATTTTTTGAGCGTATGCAATTTTTAATTCAAGAAGATGGTTTACAAACATCGTCCATCTATTCATCGTTCAATGAAAGGTAAAATGATAAAAAAATTTAATTTTCTATTCAGTCAAAAACAAAATGAACATATACACCTTTTTCTAGAGTAACAGCATTCAATAAAAGGTGAAATCTCTTCTTTTTTTTCCATGTTGTTTGTTTTCGTGTCGCATTGATGTTGTAAATTTCAAATGACATTCAAATTATAACTTTTAGTCAGAATAGATCTCATAGCAGAGTATCTAAAGTGTAAATGTGATTGAGTATTGTACATTTTTATCAGTGATTTTGTTGAACGATTCTAACAGCGAATATAAACGAGTCACTTGACACAAATATCCAATATTATAAGCTTTCTTTTTCTACTCATTATAGACGAGCATCTGTGATACGTGGTCAGATATTTTACAAGACAGTTTCACCATTAAACGGCGTTAAAGTACAAATATCAAATAGTCCATCATTAGGATACACAATCTCAAATAAAGAAGGGTTGTAAGTATAATATTATTATATGTTACCAATATTTTACTATTCGAATACAAACAAACAAAAAAACAACATAAACTTATCGATTTGTTTAGTTTTAATTTGTTGGTTAATGGCGGTGGTTCCATATTATTAGACTTTACCCGACAACCATTTAAATCAAAACAATTATCCATATTTGTTCCGTGGAATAAATTTGTACATATTGGTTACATTTATATGGATGAGAACGATAATAATGAAAATGGAATTAGCAAACACATTAATTCAACATGTTTAGCAATTTATAATAATTTTATTGAACCAAAAATTTGGGAAACAAATTCATATCGAACATTTATTAATAATAATAATGGTTATTCATATACACTCGGTTCACAAATATTGCGACAATATGTATCGATACCCGAAACTCAAATGAATCTCGTTTATATTAGTACTAGTAGTACAAAAAAATATTATTCAATTATAACTATTGTATTAACATCAAATAGTATACATTCAGACTTAGAAACAATTCATTTACAGGTGAGTACTAAAATGATTAGAAGTACATATAAATGCTAAAAATTTTCATTCTTTTTGATAGATAAGCATTGAAGGAACATATTTTTATGAGATATTTGACGCTCAACCCGATTTAGTATATGAATATGAATGGAATAGACGAAATGCATACGACCAAAATGTATACGGTTTAACTTATGCCTCAGGTAACTTAATTATTTATTAAATCTTAACAGGCACTTTAGAATCTTTGTATTTTTCATTTGTCCCTTTTTCCGATTTTTCAATCGAATTTTGATTTTTCATAATTAATATATGATCAATAATCTACAGAATAGACTCTAAGACATCAGCATATAATACAGTCCGCAGATCTCACCACTGAAAGTGTATTACTTGAACTTTAAGTAAGAATGTGGTATTTAATGTTCGTGATAGTATAGATCAACGCATCGCATTATAATCAATTTTTTAATGCGGTGCGAAGCATACCACATTATAGTAATAAGCTACGTGTTTACTTTCTAGGCTACAAAACTGTCATTTTCTGTAACGATTTTCTCGTAAACTAGAAGGACTACCGTAAAATTTTAAACGGAAGCAGTGAACTGTGACTACCGTAAAATTTTAAACGGGAGCAGTGAACTGTGAGGCCGAATTAGTAAATGTCCTCTTTTGAGACTTTGTGACTAATTCAGTCATTAACCAGAAGGCTTGAAAGAAGGTGTTTTGAACGTTTGGGACTTGTAGTTTTTCAAAAATGACGGATAATTAATCTGAGTCATACTAGCACTTTTAAAGCAGAGTGTTCGCATATCGTGTGGTTCACTTTATGACCATGCTGTATATATAATATATTCAATGAATAATTAACGTAATGACTAGCCACTAGACGCTTTACTGTGTTATAGATAATAGCGCACTGTGTATGATAAAGCCAAAATTTAGCTTGTTTCTTTTATTCACAGAGAGATACGTGGACGTCTCAACAAACATTCTGAAGCTTAATGAATCAGTAGCAGAAAAAGACAATTACTCTTTTACGTGACTAATCTACACTTTATTCAGTTCTTTCCTGCGAATAATACTGTACATAACTAAAGAAAAAAAATTGAGTTCTCTGTTGCCGTATCCTTCATCCTCTTGTTCCTGCTTCGCACCGCATTCGCAACTCTCGCTAGCGTGATTGCCGTTTAGTTTTATTAAATTGTTCGGAGACTAACAAACTGCATATGAAAAAATCGATTTAAAATCAGATCAATTTTTCAGTTCTGTGCAGCCGAATCAGCCAGGGATGTATCCAGGATCCCACTAAGGGATGGGCGAACCCTTTTCTTTTGGGGGAAAATCGTTTTCCTCGTTTTCATGGTATTTCTGTTACTCTTTGATTCTTTTTTGTAAAATATTGCGCGAGCAATATCTTACACATTCGAGTTTATAGAAATCAGTGCACGATATTCATAGATCTCACTCTTGAAAGTATAACATTTAACATCTAACAAAACGAATGAAATAAAGTTAATAACTTACGTTTTAGCTTGAAATCTATAGAGTTGAACGGTTATTAAATTTAGTATAATAATCTTAATAGTTACTGTTTTGTAGCCTTTCGCTTTCTGCATCTCTGACATATTCGTGATAATGTTCTACTTGTGATCTAGTTAGAATTTTATCATTTTTATTACTTAGTTTCTGTTGGCTACGAATATTATGGTTGTAAACAAATAGTGTGGACACATAAAACAAGTATCGTCAATGGTCAAGATATACCAGGTGCTAACGTTGGTGGATGGAATTTTGATGTTCATCATCGATTAAATTTACAAGAAGGTGTATTACACAAAGGTGATGGAACAAACGTATTGATGAGTGAATCACCATGGATGGTAACATCTATTGCTGGTATAAGAGATCAAATACGAAATATTGAATGTAAAAAGTGTATGGGACAAGCAACAACAATGAAATTATTAAATCCAACAAGTTTGGCCATTAGCAACGATGGAACAATTTTCATTGGTGATTTGAACATTATCTGGATTATACAAACATCTGGAATGACAATGCCCGTACTGGAATTAAGGTATGTTTTATATATTAAAACGTAATTATGACTATTTCATCTATGAAACATATGTGGGTTTCTTTAGTCAAGAATACACCTATAAATATTATATGACAACAGATCCTATTGATGGTCGATTATATATTGCCGATTTTCAACGTCGTCAAATAATCCGTTTAATATCAACATCAAATATAAAAGATTTGTCACAAAATTATGAAATTGTTGTTGGCGATGGGAATTATTGTGGAAATATATTAGACGATGATAAAGAATCGTGTGGTGATAGTTTAACGGCTCAATATGTTTCGTTATCGTATCCAAAAGGTTTAACAATTAATAAAGAAGGTACATTGTATTTTATTGATGGAAATCGTATTCGTCAATTAAGATTGGATAATAGTCGTGTCACAAATATTGTTGGGACTGTCAAATATGAAAATGATTATAAAAGATTACCGTGTAATAAAACATATGAACTTGATAAGGTAGATTGAGTTTTGTTTTATTCCCATATCTGTTAACAAGCAAAAAATTCTCTTTTGTGCTATTTAGTTTTCATTCTATTCACCAACTGTATTAAACATAAATCCATTAGACGATGATATTTATGTATTAGATGATACAATCATCTATCGAATTAAACCATTGTTTAATCGTATCGAAATTGTTCTTGGAAAACCCTACTTCTGTTCATCTAATCAAAACTTGACCATACTTCATAATCCAATTGATTTTACATTTGACTCTTATGGTGATTTGTATGTATTAGAAACAAGTAGAACAAAACAATCGTTTATTCGTGTTTTAAAATCAAATGGAATTATCGAAACAATTTCTGGTTATTCACAAGTACCAATAATAAAACAATTTCAAATAGATAAAGATAATATATTTTCAAAACCAAGTTCGATTATTGCACATCCAGATGGTACAATTTTATTAGCCAATTCAGGATCAAAAGAAATTTTTAAAATTAAAATGATCTCATCGTATGATGATGAACAAAAAAATTTAAATATATTTTCACCAGAAACAAATGAAATTTATTTATTTAATCGAATGGGACAACATCATACAACAATTGATGCTCTAACAGGTAATTCAAAAAAGAGAAAAAACGACATCATAATGTACTTGTATGATGTTTTTTTGAATTTTTATTCTTTCATAGGAGACTATATCTATAATTTTACATACGATTCACCACAGAATGCCTATGCAAGATTAGATTCAATTACCCACCGAAGTGGTAAAAGTGTCGCAATAAAATATGATTATGCAATGAAAATTAATGATATTTATTTACCAAGTGGGAATAAATTAAAGGTAAACGAAAACGAAAATGAAAATAATATACATAAGAATAGCCCAGACATATCTGTCCTTCTGTCCGGAACGCTCCCAAGACACTAAACAGCGCCAATGTATTGGGTAAAACCCAAAACACAAACGACTCTAAAACTTGATTGACCAGAGGGTAACCAAGGGCGGGGAATCCGAATCCGATATCAGAAATGAGTTATGAGTTATTAATTATTATTAGTTAATAAATCAGTTATCGAAAAATGAATGAAAAAATGAATGAAACGCTGGGCGTCCGTGGTTTTCCACGGGTTATTTCTAGTGTATAAGATATAAACTTGTTAAATATATTTAGATGCAATTTTCAAAACAAAAATTATTATCGAGTATTATGGATATCGATGGATCATCAACACAATTCATCTACGATAACGGATTATTGATAAGCGTACTGGAAAATAATGTTGCTAAAATAAATTTTATCTACGATAAATCCGGACGATTACAAAAAGTAATGAGTATTTGTTGATTAGAACGACTCACTCCTCTCTTTTTTTCACCTTATTGACAAAGATAGTTATGAAGATTTCGGTCAAGTTCAAAGTTTTACCACAAGTACTTCAAATTCTATCTCAGATGCTAAATTTTGGGGAGATCACAGTGTGTTTGAATTGGTATGAGTATTACAGTGAACATCAAATAGCACGATTACAAAAAATAGGTCGCGTTTTTTTACACATTTGCCAGAATGTTCATCTCTTTCTTGAAAAATCATACAAAACTTTCAGAATGAATGTCATTGTCAACAGAATACTTTCTCTGTCAGGCCAGATATAAGAAAACATTTTGAAGGTACTGCAAACGAAAGGAAAACTTAACAAGGCAAAAATAATTTAGGTTTTTCAATTTCTTGAGCAAAACGTTGAAGAATTCAGCAGTTTGGCCGAAAAAGTTGTAGAAGTCTGGGAATGACCTTATTTTGTAGCTTAGAGTTTCCCTAAACTTAGGGTATGTTCAACTCGTAAAACGTTTTCTCAAAAAGAAAACCAGAGAGAGGGGGGGCACTACCCTCCAAACAATGACTTTAATTTTACACAATTTAAACGACTTTTAGGTTATTCATCATGATGGATTTTATAATGAATTTTCGATTATGGCAAATCATTCTTATTTGACGTTATTTGTCAAGAGTTTAAATGCCATTTCATTATATCTAATGAATGATTCATCTATAATGCAACTTCAAAGTAATTATTATTTATATTTAGAATAGATGGTTCACATTTTCATCGACTTTCTTCTTTTTAGATAATCAACGTCTTATTCGTCGATATATCGATACAAATTCTATTATTTATATTTCAAATGTTGGCGAACAATTATCTTATAAAATAAATCAATATCCTATTCTAACAACAAATAATCCTACTCAAATTCAATATGATTTTCGTCTAAACTCAAATATATCATTGACAATTGATATTGTTTATTCTTCACCAAAATCAGTGGCCAACGATCGATTATCATCATATCAAAATATTGATAATAAAAATCAGTTACGAACATGGAATATGAAAGTGAGTATCTCCCCTCTTTTTTTTTCTCATGGTGTTGACAGAAACTAAAAAAAATAATTATCTTCTAGGAGTCTAACGAACAAAACACATTATTTTCAGTTTTAAATAGTAGACCATTTTATATCAATTATTTTTCTTATACGAGTCTAAGTTTAGTGGTATGTTGACACCTGCTTTGTTTGATATATGCACCTAACCAAAGTTTACTAGTCACCAAATCTTTCTGTCGATTAGAAAGAAACTTTTAAAAGCAAATCTTTTATCTTCCTCCTTCGCCGAAAAAACAAAGCTTGTCAAAGCGATGATTTGTTATTGTTGTTGTTGTTTCTTCCTTTCTTGGGCTCGCATTAATATTTGGCTAATATAAAAAGAAAAAAAAACCAAAAACTATGTGATTAACTTAAAAGTTATGCATAGTTGTTGAGTTTTGTTTTTGTGTCTAAAATAATGTGACATATCTCACTCTTGTTTTAGGTAAATAATAATAATATATTGTCGATTGAATTTGATCGTTATGAAAGAAAACTGAGTATTCGCGATTCAAAATCCGATGAAATTTTGCAGATTGTTTGCTCAGATAAAGGTTTGGTGACATCGATGATGAGTCGTGGATTTGTACCAATAATTTATAATTATGATGATAATGGTCAAAAATTAACAAGTTGGCAATTGGGTACATATCGTGAAGAATATATCTATGATACGCGTGGTCGATTAATTGAAATTCAAAAACCAAGTGGACTTGGCTCTGTTAAATATAGTTATGGTATTGGTGAACAGGTAATTAATTATTAAGAAAAATAAGAGATAATTTAACGGTTATTGTACGATATGTTTCTGCACGACGGTCTAATAAATTATCGTCGGTTAACCGCGCAGTACAGTTAACTGAGGATAATTTGTTGAACGTTTTAAAAAAAAAACTCGATATGGGAATGTAGAGTGCAACCTGGATGCTTTAAGGACAGCAGGATGTCCTACTTTATGCATAAAAAATGCACCTAAGTTATATGGGAGAATTAATTAATTCATTTAAAAATTTTCCATATTTAAGACTCCTAGAAGATTTTTTAGTGTCTGTTAACACCATGAGAATAAAAAGAAGGGAGATACTCACTTTCATATTGCATGTTCGTAACTGATTTTAATTATGAATATTTTGATATGATGATAATCGAGAATTGAATTTGAGTAGGATTATTTGTTGTTAGAATAGGATATTGATTTATTTTATAAGATAATTGTTCGCCAACATTTGAAATATAAATAATAGAATTTGTATCGATATATCGACGAATAAGAC